CATACATACAGACATGCATACAGACGTGCACACATGCATACATACATACATCCATACATACATAGATACATACTGACGTATGTACATACACATGCATACAAACTTTGACATGTTGACATTCTTGCATACATAGGAAGCATTGCAGGAACCTTGCAGATGATTGACTTCACTCCGCAGAACCATCATCATCTCGTGTATGCAGGGTTTAGGGGGGTGTCCTGACGAAAGTCCATGGCCCCAGTTCAGCTTTGGGCGGCCTGCTGCTAGTATCTTATCGGCAGCACTGAGACATACCGTGGTCTTCAAGGCGTGCAGGAGTACAGCGAGCACACTGAAATCTGACAACATGTCTAGAATCGAAGTAATGTAGAGCATCGGAATGGTGGCAAATACTATCCCCTTCTAGTCCCTGTATCATTATCGTAGAAAACCTCCCTCAGCCCCGCTTATCATTGCCTTCACGACCATCGGCATCATGATGACCCCCAAGGGCCCAAGGGTCCACGCGTGCACAGAAGTTTAAAAGTTCAAGATTTTGTGATGTGACGAAAGCCTTGACATCTGAAAGCCTCAACCCTAAACCCTACACCCCCGTCAACAAAAAAAACTAAACATCTGCCAGCCCTAAACTCTAAACCCCCACCCTTCAAAAAAAAACTAAACATGTTTCCGCCCTGAACCCCTAAATCACTTCAGTCTGAAAGAACGAAGCGCTTGTCCCTTGTCAGGCAGGCAATGGACTCGCCAGCTATTTCCACGGATGATCATCTCAAGTTCCTTCTGACACGGTTTAAAGTGGGGCCTAGGGTTAGGGGCTTAGAGTTAGGGTTTTAAGTTTAGGGGTGCTAGCTCTCCATGTCAGAACCCTTTTGGGCCTGATTTGTTGATCACATGGGCTCGGTCTAGACCCCGATATCTGAGCCACGGAGTAGGTTTTAGGGTTTAGGGTTCAGGGTTTAGGGTTGGGTAGGGCCTGCAGTGTGCTCTAAGCCCAAGCTGCCGCATAGCTATTGCGATGTCAACTCCGCTTTGGGGTTTGGGCCGGTCGACATTACGAAATCCTTTTTGGACTTGGGGTCTCCAAAGGAAAGCGGAGGTCAGCCACGCCAAGGAATAATGTGGAAAGCTAATACCCGGAGTATCCTGAACTCAGAACTCGGTCTGACGTCTCAACTCGGCCGAAAAGCTGAAGCATGAAGCTTCAACCATCACCTCCCATCCCCATCATGACTCTTGAGGTTCCAGGGTCTCGACGCCTCTGCTGGAGCGCAGCTGATGGAGGCCGAACTGCTAAGTTTACGGTGGACGCGTTGAAAGCGAAGGGTACAGGCCGTGTGTATCCGGGCATCTAGACAAACAACCAGACAGAGAGAAGCAGAGAGGGAGGGGCGCGCACACACTGACATACATGCAGAGACCCACCCACTCGCCCACCCACCCACCCACCCACCCGCCCACCCGCCCACCCACCCACCCACCCACCCACCCACCCACCCACCCCACCCACCCACCCACCCAC